CAATGTCAAACGAAATAAAACTGTGCCTGTCTTTATCGTTTATATTGCCAAACCATGAAATTATTTGTTGCGTATTCCTTCATTGATTTGAATGTAGTTTTTGTCTCAAATTGGAATTGATTTTATCTAAAATAACCTTACTTAGTTTTCCTGATTCGCTTTTTGCGGGATTAATTAATCGGCATTTTGGGTTGTTCTCGAAATTTTCTTTGTGATCTTTTAATTAAAGATATAAATGCTTCGCATTTTTTCATTCGTTCAATTCTGTCGTCAATTCCTAACCTACTCGAAATTTCTTTCAACTCGGAGTCAATTTTATCTATTATAAAGACATCTGATTTTGTACGTTTTCGAGATGTTGTCATGTAAGAGTTTGTTGTATGTGTTCAGTGACGTTTCGTAAATGTTTCTAGTTTTGTCCGCGAAAATGAAAATATTGGGGGATGAATTAATTTTCTTCAAATCGTTGGCCAAAAATAGCTGAAATTGGTCTTTAGAACGCCGGAATTTTACGTTTTCAATTAGTTTTTTCAAGTCGTCTCCGAAAGGTTTCAAAATAGGAATTGAAGGAGGCGATTTGATAGACGAAAGGCCTTTTAGGAAGAAATCTTTTTAGGAAGAAATTTCCTTTCCATCTCATACGTTTTGTTACGCTTTCCACTTTTCCAATCAAATTCTTTAAGTAAACATCCTGTGATGGTATAGGTCTGGAATATTCTTTAGTGAATAATCGAATCGAAACTGTCGCATAATTGAAGTAGCAATAAAATGAATAACCTAGACAAGAATGCTGCACAACCGACCGGATGCAAATATAGCTTAAGGTTTTGGTTTACGAAACACAAACAGTGCTCAATACCATATCGATAGAGCTATTAACAAACGCATTGCACTTCTCTCATCGGGCAAACAAACATTTAAGGAATCTACGCCTATTTACCAGAGCGACCTTAGATACAGTAACTAATACGGAAACTGACAAATGTAGCAGCAACAACAAAAACACTTGCGCACTACCGAAACAATGTATGACCAACAACATTATTTACAAAGCTACAGTTACAACGAACAACACGAACGATACTAAACACTACATTGGTATGACAGCGACTGCATTTAAGAGCGTGTGTCTCTAAAAACCGCCCACTGACTTGGGGCTCGAAAAATAAATTTCTTCGAAACTTTTACCGTGAACTACATTTACTTTAACAACAAGCAAATGCTATGTGGAATTTTGAAAATATATTTAGTTTCAAAGTTTTAGCGATTTTTTGGTCTCGCACCGTCGCGGGAGAAATTCGCCGGCTAATTAAATGAAAAAAATGGGCTGAATTTAAATAAACATAATTTCAAAAGTTTTTGTTCAAAATTTCTGATATTCACACCCAGCACCGGAAAACTATCTTAATTTCATCTAAACTAACTTAGGTTTTCAATTGCGGAGCATTTGTGACAATATTTAGCGACAAAGAACGCCATGTCAAAATACGGCTTTCAAATCCTACTATTTTCTACGCTGAATTTCTTAAAAGTGGGACCTAATTACATACAGTGACTAGTATAATTGGAAAAAGGACACTTTGAAGTACTAAAACCCGTAATAAAACTCGTCTGCAAACGCGATTTGAACAATTGAGAGCGTTTGAAATTTGATACTCTTTATGGCCTTTTGTTTACATTAGAATATTGCTGAGGTCAGACGTCTGAGTTCGTGCCACTGCTAAAAATGCGCTGTAGTTCTGCCAAATAACCTTTCCGTCAAATAAGTTTATAGCAATATAGTACTAATCTATATTTCTTTGTTTATGTCCGCCGTAAATGGTTCCAAGGGATTTAAAATAATAGGCATGTTAAAATAAACAACTTGACCAAATTAATATGCTACTCGGGGAAAAGCCCGCATGCAGCGCGAATTCTATATGTGGCACCTGCTATATTTGGTGTGATTTAGAGTTTGCGTTGCAGCATACTAAACTATTGCTTAGTTTGAAAAGTCTATAAATGTGCGAAGTTTAGTTCTGGAACCTTTCTGCGAAGTTGATCTTTGAATTATATTGCTGTAAAATTTGAGAGTTAGTATGGATAATCTGTGTTCTTTTAATGCTATCGATTCAACTGTATGCGGAGGGTGTCGGGGTGAATCGAACATTCAAAACCATCTTTCAAGTTGCCGTTTGTCGAAATCTGGTTTTAGCGAGCGCGAGCTGATTTTAAGAAGAGCGGAATTTTTACATGAAATATTAAGGGAAGAAATACGCTCTACGACAGTATGCCCAAACCACCGGTGTCCCGGGATTTTTGCCCCCCCCCCCTACATTTTCGCCGCCCGGGGGGCGAAATTCCTAGGAATTCCTAGATGTATCGAAAGGGCACACAGTTACAGTAGATCAATAGGACTTATGACGCTTCACAGCACACCATGCATATTTTGCATTTTCACTGTTAATCCTCGTCGTTGTTAAAAAGTAATCACCGTGGTGGTTATTGTAATTATTGGTATTGTTTTGCATCCACGTTTTGTCGTTATTGGAAAATGTGTGGCTTATAAGTTGTCACTATTTTTTACTTGCATTATTTCAATATAGTTTGTAAATCTCAGAAGCGAAGGATAGAACTTGCCAATAGGCAATATTCCAATAATATACGTTTCAAAAAAAGACAAAAAAGCTTTTAGTTTTGCAGAGTTACATTCTCAAATGTTTAAGGCACTAATAAAATCAAAGTATCATGAAATTATTTGAATAATATATAAACATATATAATGCAATTTTCTTTGCGGAAGTCAAGAATCAAGATTACATCACTAACACTGACATGGAAAGTTGATGATTCAACGGACAATAGTCAATACGCTTCCCAACACATTCCACAGATTTTTTATTAATCCTATAGTTTATTGTTAGCAAGTGATTAGTACACTGATTACTGTGGCGGCTATTGTTAACACTGGTATTGATAAAATTTGCCAGCGATTGTTTTTATAATATGTTATGTGAATGTAAACTGTCAGAAGAATACGACAACATGATTTTACGCGATCTCTGTGGGCAATGGTTCCACTTTAGATGTGTAGAATATGACACTAGTCTAAATACCTCAAATGAGTGGTTATGTAGACTGTGCAGTGTGCACACTACCAGCTGCTATAAAGAAGCCTAAAATGTGTATCTAATTTTGTCTCCTTGTAATAAATAAATAAATAAATCACACAATAAATCTTTTCAACTTGCAATCGTTTTGTTTTTAGATCAAAAATTCAAAATTTATATGGGGGGGGGGGGCGAAATTCCTAAAGGGGGGCGATATTCCTAGGAGATTCGCCCCCCTGGGGGGCGATGTTCCTAGGAGCAGAAAGGTTCCAGAACTAAACTTCGCAGAAAGGTTCCAGAACTAAACTTCGCACATACATAGACTTTTCAAACTAAGCAATAGTTTAGTATGCTGCAACGCAAACTCTAAATCACACTAAATATAGCATGTGCCACATATAGAATTCGCGCTGCATGCGGGCTTTTCCCCGAGTAGCATATTAATTTGGTCAAGTTGTTTATTTTAACATGCCTATTATTTTAAATCCCTTGGAACCATTTACGGTGGACATAAACAAAGAAATATAGATTAGTACTATATTGCTATAAACTTATTTGAGGGAAACGTTATTTGGCAGAACTACAGCGCATTTTTAGCAGTGACAAGAACTCAGACGTCTGACCTCAGCAATATTCTAATGTAAACAAAAGGCCATAAAGAGTATCAAATTTCAAACGCTCTCAATTGTTCAAATCGCGTTTGCAGACGAGTTTTATTACGGTTTTTAGTATTTCAAAGTGTCCTTTTTCCAATTATACTAGTCACTGTATGTAATTAGGTCCCACTTTTAAGAAATTCAGCGTAGAAAATAGTAGGATTTGAAAGCCGTATTTTGACATGGCGTTCTTTGTCGCTAAATATTGTCACAAATGCTCTGCAATTGAAAACCTAAGTTAGTTTAGATGAAATTACGATAGTTTTCCGGTGCTGGGTGTGAATATCAGAAATTTTGAACAAAAACTTTTGAAATTATGTTTATTTAAATTCAGCCCATTTTTTCCTTTTAATTAGCCGGCGAATTTCTCCCGCAACGGTGCGAGACCAAAAAATCGCTAAAACTTTGAAACTAAATACATTTCCAAAATTCCAAACAGCATTTGTTTGTTGTTAAAGTAAATGTAGTTCACGGTAAAAGTTTGGAAGAAATTTATTTTTCGAGCCCCAAGTCAATGGGCGGTTTTTAGAGACACACACCCTTAAAAAAGCCAACAATGTCATTTTTTTCGATAATTTTTTTTGGCATTATAGAATTTTTTTATTTTTCGTATAGTGAGAGACTTTTGTAGTACCATACAGTATGCAAAATTTCAGCATAGGTCACAGTACGAAATATAGCACATTCTTTTTCAAAAATGGATTTTTTTAATGACATCAGCATTAACATAAAACTCTATGGAACAAGCATATTGATGTGAGATGGCACGAGCAATGGCATGAGAAGTCATTTTGGAAGTTCTTTATTTAGTCGATATTCCCCGCGCATACAAATGGTCTCCCGGGTTTGTTCATATTGTATGAAGTTTTCTTTTCGCGAATTAGCAGGATCTTCTGATTACTATATCGAGCCACCTTAAAAGGAAACCAATGGCGGACATTAAGGGGGTAGGTGACACCCCGAAATAATTTCTGAAAGCCTTTAAATGATATCTGAATAATTGTGTAACAAAACTGTAATATTAATTTTTCAACCGCTAAAACATTGACAAGCTAAAAATTAGGCTACATATTGCGAGAAATTTAAGAACTATAATGATTTCCAGTTACAAAAGGTGGTCATTCACAACCTAATTCGTCCCCAATATTTTGCGAAGTAACCACCACTGAAAATCCACTTGAAACTGACGTGTGACATTATAGGTATATTATATTTATATAAAGCCCATTTGAATTTGTTATTTACAGTACATGGATCAACGAGAGCACCTGTTCAGGTAAACATTCTTTTTGTGTTCGTTAATCCATTTAAACATTTCAGACACACTGAAATCTTCTAATAAGCAGGCCTTGATTTCTGTGAGCTTTTTATATGTCCTGCCATTGGCAAATTCAAATGCTTTGTTGTCAACCAAATTCTGCACGACTTTGACCAGATAATTTCTTCTTGAATGTTCAACATGATGGCCAGACCTCCTCACAATATTGCACATCTCATCAAAGTTGTCAAGAAGTTGCTTGTTTGTTGTAAGAACCCTACAGTGGCGGTTTAGAGCTTTACCATTTAATCCACTAGCACCAAGTTTCTTTATCAAGGTCTTGATAATGCGGTTGAAATGCTCTAATGCCAGGTCAAGGGGGATGTTCCCTCTAGAACCAAACTTAGATTTTAAAAATCTATTCCATGTCAACCCATGTGCTGCACGTGGGCTTAGCAGTGCGTTGACTTGGCATTGCAAGTAGAGAGCCTCCAATGCATACTTTCTACTTCCAGCACCATCATGCCTCAAGTACTGCAGCATAAACTTCCAGCATTGTACGACTCTTCCACCATCACCATCTGATATTGCATCAAAAAAGTTTTTAACTAGAAGACCAATTTCTAAAAAACTTGATTGGTAATTGAACATGTCGTCTCGTTTCAGGATTTTCTTGCCAGTGTTTGTATACTTTAACACTGTGACAGGTGGTAAACCATGGGAGGCTTCATGTTCTCTCTTTCTCTTACCATCACACTTGTATGTCTTGTCACACCCAGGAAATCTGCACTTGAATCTGGCATCTGCATCTCTGTTTTTCCTCTCTTTATCTTCAGTTTCAGCCATGTGCACTTTCTCTAGAAGGGAAGCAACTTTCTCGGAACCAAGGATGTACTTGTTGACAACTTGTTCAGCAAGGGATTTTAAAAACCGTAATTTCTCATCTTTGGACGCCAACTTTAAATTGTAAGGAATAACCTCTGATGTAGGTTCTGCATTGATATCATCCATACCTAGTTTGTTCATACAGGCAGCGACGATCCTTGCATCAATTTCCAGCAGAATAAATTTTTTGGTGGCACTGACATTCTTACTAACATCTGTTGAGATGTTTCTTCGATTAATAAAATTCCGATCACAAAACAATGTACATTGATCATTAGGTGCACTTGTATTGTAAAAATGATTGAATATTACCTAAAATACAGGGTTCATCAAAAAAAACTTAACAGATTTGAAATTGCTCTCAATTTTGCAAAACACCTATTTGTATCTGTTTTTTATATATATAGCTTCTTTGGGTACTTATAATGTAAAATAATGAGAAAAAAATTCTCGAACTCAAATTTTGTGAACCAGGGGGTGTGTCTTTTCCAACAAACTAAAAATGGCTCGCGCACAAAATTTAAAAGCTGTAATCATATTATGAGTTACTAGGTTGAAAATTTGTCCGGTTTTTAATTACTGTACAAATGCGTGAATAGTTAAGGGGCTTAAACTAAACCAAATTGTCTGAAATTTTGTACAGTAATTAAAATGCCGAGAAATTTTCTATCTGTTAACTCAAAATATGATTGCAGCTTTTAAATTTTGTGCGCGAGCCATTTTTAGTTTGTTGGAAAAGACACACCCCCCTGGTTCACAAAATTTGAGTTCGAGAAATTTTCTCATTATTCTACATTATAAGTACCCAAAGAGGCTATATATATATATAAAAAACTGGATACAAATAGCTGTTTTGCGAAATTGAGAGCAATTTTAAATCTGTTCAGTTTTTTTTATACACCCTGTAGAATGTACAAATGTATCTAATCTGGAAGGAAAATTTAGTTGAACATGCACATTAAGCGTTTATCACAAGGTGTCATTAACGAGTACCGTAAATGATCGAATAAACGCCGCTACTCGAGTAAGCGCCGCTCTCGAATAAACGCTGCATCTTCAACTAGAAGAATGTAATAAGTGCTGCGGTCGAATTAGCGCCACAGCGCCAATTTGAGAGTTTATAAATAAACGCATTAACAAGATGATGATAACACGATTGAGAAAGTAGATCACAGTCAGTATATAGTTTTAAAGTTTTATTGTAGCACATCTTTTACAACTGGGTTCATATAATAGTTCTAACTGTATAAATTTCTCCTTCTTAAAACTCTGCGCCTAACACTGCATGTCGTTGATTCAGCATGCACGCTGTGAACTTAGCAGGAACCACCAGCCCAACTTCCCACTTTTGAAAATAAGTGCCGCTCTCGAATAAGTGTCGCATCTTTAACTAGAAGAAAGTAATAAGCGCCGCGGCACTTATTCGATCATTTACGGTACTGAAAATCAAGAATCCTACCGTTGCAAGTTATCATTTCTGGGTGACTAATAAACATATGTTTAGTGATGTTGCTACTCTGAGTGTCTCCACACCAGGCAAGCTGAAAAATCAGCTTGACCACGGTGGGCATCGAACCCGCGACCTTTGGTTTGCTAGTCCAATGCTCTATCAACTGAGCTACGAGGTCAATTCGGTTCGAGTGTGTGATATTTCAAAACTCAGTCTAGTTTCTTCAATATCATTGTGTTATAAAGTGATCTTGAAATTTCAAGACTAATAAACATGTTTGCTATCGGGCGGCCATCACAGGGACTTAGCTAGGATGGACAATCTTCCCGTCCAAAGGTGTTGCACTAGGTCTGCCCCCCCCCCCCAAAAAAAAACCCATGTTTTCCTTGAAATAATTTTGAAATAAGATCTTCATTTTCTCAATATGTTGTTCTTAGCAGTCAAAAGAACATATGTAAAACTGCACTCAAAATTGAAGAGCAAACAGAATGCTGAAATCAGCTTAAAATACTAAATATCCTGCAAATACATAGGAAATTGTAACTTGTTTGCTTGTGGACGTATGTGCAGGACTGTTGAATGTCATTGTGTTATATCTAAATTTAATCTTGTACGGTTGTACTAACGACTAAAGTCAAAATACTGGAGGATTTTTTTGTTTGAACATTTTTAACCTGTCCACATTAAAAAATACCCGTCCAAAAGGCGGGTGGACGGGCCTCTGGCTAAGCCCGTAGCGGCCATATAATTAAAGATTGAACTAAGATTATTGATTGTGCTAGCGAATTCAAACAGTTTGGCAATTTCATACCATAAATTGAAATGGACTGAAAGGAAGCTTGATCGTGGCAGTACGATTCTGATTTCTGATGTGCAGTGCAACATAATGGGTTAACAAGACAACAGAATAATAGACCACGTGAAAAACAACCATCTTGCTTAGTTGCATTCCCCTGTCTTGCAAAATGTTGTGTACTAATTATATAAAATACCTCTAGGAACTTCATTCCTCCATGGAAATCTGCTATTTCAAAATGAATTCCTTCATTGCGTTCCTCGGGAGTGAATCCATTCGAGACTTCCATTAAGCTATTCACACCACGTTCAACAGTAAGTTGATCCCCGACCACTGCTTGTTCTCCACAGGTATCTTTCTTTCCATCAAAATATGATGGAACAAACTGTCATAGGTGATTGAGAATTTTACGGAACCCATCAGCTTCGTTCTCATTTTCATACAGGATGCCCAGAAATGTCTTAAAAATATCAATAAAAGTAACTATGTTACTAAAAAAAACATACAGTATGTACACAGGAACATCTGAAATGTGTGTGATCTGATTTGTTTTCACGATCGAAAATTATTCAAGTGCCAATGCGGGGTACGGTGTATTGTCCAAAATTTCATTTGATTATTATTAGGTAATAAAGGTTTCTTGGTCAAAATTGGACAAATTGAGCAGTAAACTAGAAAGTCCACTGCTAGTGTGAATCCCTTAGCAGGCATATTGTTCTTATATCTTCAACTTGTGCTCATATTGTACTAAATATAGAACTGCTTGCCTTTGCCTAATGATTGTATATTCAATACAACATGGCCGTTCTCAGCTCAGGATAGCAATGATCCAATACATAGTCAACAGAGACATGGTCTGGAAACTCAGCAAACATCATAGTGTTAATAATGAGCTTAGATTGCCGAGTTTCAATCTCAATTGACTATGTCCAGTATTAGGCTTTGTCCAGAAAACATGATCAAGCAGGCATGTCTAACATGCACCTCAGAACATGTTTGCATGCACTTTTTGTCAAACACTTTTTCATGATAAACGGAAACAATAGTATGTACAATCGACCCTATAGCATATATGAAATTAGTGCTTGAGGTCAAAATTGAGGTTAAAACACATTACTGTTTTTTTCAAACCAAATACTAAATTGGTCAGACATTTTGTGGACGAATGGGTTAACCATTCAAGATGATTCTCACATAAACAATACAATAATTGACAAATTTAGAAATATTGAATGGTGCTTGGCATAAAGTGTTATTTATTGCGGTGATTTACCTAATAGATACTGGGAGTCAAAATAAAATTATAAAAATGTCTGACCAAATTTAAAAATTTCTGATCAAATTTAATTTTGGTTGGACATTTTCCTGGAAAATTTTTTTAACATTATTTCAGCCTCTGTGTCAGTGATTTGGTACATGTACAGTAGATTTCAAGAAATTCACTTACTGAAAAACCAGAGATATGAGTTATGATTGCTAAAACCAATTGGAATGCAGTCATATTTCTGGAACGATTCTTAAGGCAGACTGCTGCTGCTACACCAATAGACAGCATTGAACTTTTGCTTCTGTCTTCAACTCGAAGTGATGCAGTTTTGAGTACAAGCTGAAAGAGTGGGGCCCTTTCTTTCAATTCTTTTTCAAGTTGTTCAAATGAAAAGTTAGCAATGTTCTCTTTGTCAGTTTTCCGCAAACAGCTCAACTCTCGAACTTTCACTTTCTTCTTTGTCTCGCCCTTGCACATTGCACTACACTCATTGTGGATCTGCCTTGCAATTTCCTCCAAGAAATGTTGTTGTAGCTTCTTGCATCTCCAAGCTGCTCTTGTAATTTGTTTGTACTTAAGTACCTCTATAGAGCATCTTACCAAGTGATGATATGTCCTTGTCTAATTCCTTTTGCCTGACTTTAGAGGCATGTAGTAAAACACTGACTACCGGAACACCGGAACACCACCGGAACACCACCATTTTGTTTGGGGTTAGGGTTTGGGGTTAGGGTTGGGGGTTAGGGTTGGGGTTAGGGTTGGGGGTTAGGGTTGGGGTTAGGGTTAGGTGGTGTTCCGGTGGTGTTCCGGCGGTGTTCCGGTGGTGTTCCGGTAGTCAGTGTTTTACTACATGCCGACTTTAGACGGCCAGTGTATTTGGATGGTAACCTTGCAAGAATCTTCTCCTGTAGCAGATCCTGATGCTGTAGAATTTGTCTGAGCACTGTCATTCTTTATGGGCGAAATATTGTTCTCCAGAGAATTAGTTGGAAAAGCGGATACTGGTTGAAGAGAACCTTTTTCACTTTGAACAACTGGTGATGATGTCGTCAATGGCACTGACGTCATAGGTTTCAAAGGTGTAGCCACAATTCCGCTATGAAAGAGACATAATCAATTCTTAACAATTAACTAGGTATTTGTATGTTGCCGACCAGAACAGTTTCAGAAAGTTGTGAACAAAAATATGAATACAATATTGCTAAGACATAACTTAATCTGTTTTCTTCAAAGACAGAGTTAAACAAAGATTAGATATAAGCAGCCCACAAGAGTGTAGGATTATATTGTCACAAGACAAAATACTTCCATTCTTGTTCCAATTAGTCTTAATTAGTGTTTGAGGATACCAAATAGGGACTGATGTCAAATTTGAAAATATCTGATCAAATTTAACTGGTCAAATATTTTGGACAATTTTTTACCATTATTATACGCTCTATTCCAGGTGTCTCAACATTCACACACTAAGAAGTTTCTAGGTATTTCATCATTGATTCATGCAGGGCGCAGGTTCGATTCCTGCCAGAGGACCTAATGTTGCATTTTTGCAACCGTTCCTGGTTAGGCCTGAAATTGTATATATATGCTCACTTGAATTATCCATCAACTTCAGTATTCAGTTTTAAGATAGCCTACATCATAGACCTCTATGAGGAATAGAGCTAGAGTCTATGACGTAAGCTAGTTTTAAGACTGATGAAAACATTCAGTGCGAAAAATATTTTAACCTATGCATTATCTTGCAGGACTGCAGGAAACACTAACAATTAATACACCCTTGCACAAAGTATTTAACCGTGGATATAAAGCTTCATTTCAGTGATTGAGACCTTGGTTTTAGAGCGAAACATCTTGTAACTGATGACAAAATTACAAAAAGGTCTTTCATATTCAGGAAAACCTAAATGTGTTACCACTTTTAACAAGATAGGGTTCTGAACCCACAATATCAAGCTCAAAAACGAGGCTTTATAGCCAATACTGAGCACTTTCCGGAAGGGTGTAGTGGTCGTTGACTTCAAAATTGACACCAGTTTTATATTTTGGGGTGTATGGGGAAATAATTTGATAATCAAATTTAGCTAAGGCAAAATACTGTATATGACAACAAAGGGCATTCGCATTGTGCCATTGTCATACTATGCGGCAGGCAAATAAACACAATTGGATAATTGAAATATTAGGCAAATAAACAATAATTGAACATAGTCTTGAAAATAAAGAAACAGGCATGTGTTGGTGGTTTAGTTGTATATTTGCTCGCCATATTGACAATTGACATGTATATAACGTACTAGATAACTTAGGAATTAAACAGTATTCAGATATCTATGTAGCCCTCAGACATCATACTTACACGCTGTTTATATCATCAGTTGCTTCATATTCTAGTCTCTTCGCCACTGCAAGTCTTGAACCAGAATCAGACAAAGGTGCTTGGCGTAAAATTTTAATATTACTATCGCTTTTCTCTTAAACCCTTTCTCTTTCTGATCATAGATAAGCATGGTTTACATATGCATTTTAGCACTGGCGCCAAAACCACAGGAACGGCTTCCAACTCTGTTTTTATATCTTCTTTCAAGAAATTTATATCATTCTTCGTAGAAGACACTTTATAGCACAATATACACGCAAAATTGACAAAAGAAGAGACGATATTAGTCTGTATACAACTCATTCTTTTGGTAGCCTTTCACATCTTGATGTACGCGTGAAAAAAGCCATGAAAAAATTTTACATAACGCAGTATAATTTATGCAAAAGCTCAAACGGATGTGACGTACGTGGGGGTTGTTGCATAGACTCTACGAGGAACGAGTTTGAGTCTATGACGTAGGCTACCAAAAATTGGACTAAAATTCCGATATTCAAATTGCCGTAACTTTTGATTGTCTTGACCGATTTTGATGAAACAAACACCATTAGGTTTTAAATCACGGGCTCTATCGAACTAGCCTACTTGCGGAGCCCCCCTGTAAATTTGAAATTTTGGCTGCTATCCCTACCAAAGAGCTACGTTGAGATATGAATTTATTTTAGTTTTACAGGGCGGTAAAACAATAACAAATTTTGCATACTGCCAACTGTGTTTAAAATTATATATCTTTCGTATACAATTGAAAAGGTGAATAAATGTACGGCTGCAATTAAAAATTGCCATAAAATTTGCATTTTCCTATCTGCGGATTGAGGAGATTCAACTACCCGAAAAATATGTGCAGAGGTCAGTTCGACGTTTTTTTGTTTCAAAATGATCATTTTCCGATTTTTTCAATTTCCTCGTGGAACAATTTAAGATTATAATTTCTGTATTGCAATATTTGCAATAAGTTCAATCTATCACTGGTATAACAGTTTAATTTTGGATATCTACAAATTTACCATCAGTAATCGAACTCTCTTCACTAATATTCGAAGTTTCATTTGGCAAAGCGTCAGTTACCTGTCTCAGGATCAACTATATATAGTACAGTAAAAAATTTGATAGAATAGTATGTTTTAGTATTTTTGCACAAGTGAACATAACAAATCCTACAAGGTGATTGGTCAAATTTGATATATTAATCTGTTATATTCACCTACAGGTGATCACAGGTGAATATAACAAAATCGAAATTTTCAAAATGGCAGCTAGCCTTTTTGTTGAAGTTAGTGATAAAGAAATAAGCGAAATTAAAATGAATTCAGACCAGAAAAACACAAAAAAACTTGTGCAAAAATGCTAAAACAATTATTCGCCTCAGGCTCGGGGATTATCGGGGAATTAACTCACCTCGACTTCGTCTCGGCAAATATTCCCCGATAATCACCTCGAATAATTGTTAAATAATATCAAATATTGATTGTATGAAATCAATATAGGCCCTATAGTCAGTGTATGAATCAATTAATACATGCATTAAAACATATAGGATAATATGTTTGTGCGATGTTACTCTGAGTGTATATCCACACCGGGCAAGGCTTGAAAAATATGCCTGGCCATGGCGGGATTGGAACCTACGACCTTTGGAATACTAGCCCAATGCTCTTCCAACTGAGCTACGCGGTCAGGACGGTTCGAGTATGCGATATTTCGGAACTGAGTCTAGTTCTTTCGATATCAGTGTAATCTAATAATCATGAAATCTGCTGTGCTGGTGTAATGTGCACGTGGATATACACTCAGAGTAACATCGCACAAACATCTTATTCACCTGAGTACATTACACCAGCACAGCAGATTTCATGATTCTTAGATTACACTGATATCGAAGGAACTAGACTCAGTTCCGAAATATCGCATACTCGAACCGTCCTGACCGCGTAGCTCAGTTGGAAGAGCATTGGGCTAGTATTCCAAAGGTCATAGGTTCGAATCCCGCCGTGGCCAGGCATATTTTTCAAGCCTGCCTGGTGTGGATATACACTCAGAGTAACATCGCACAAACATCTTATTCACCTGAGTACATTACACCAGCACAGCAGATTTCATATAGGATAACATTTTTAAAGCCAAATAGGATAATATTTTTAAAGATGAAACTTTGCGTTTCTCATATGCCCAACATAATTGGAGTAAATATAGCCTAAACTTATTTAAGTTCATGAAAAGCTGAAGAAAAGTTTGACGTTTGAACTGATCCGATATTCTTCATTTGATGTCATCTGAGTACAGTCATTGTGCAAAAAAAACCAATAGCCAAAAAAAAAAAAACCTATAGCTCAAATATTTGGAAATTTACTTCTGGATTATACTAGGCCTATACATTCCCCCTTGACTGCTATACTAAAAGGGAAAGATTCGAAGACCTGAGAAAAAGGCCTGCCCCACTCCTTTTGCATATATAAGGCTGTAAAAACATAGACTGAAACATACATTGGTCTGACATCCATTTCAACCATGCAGAACCCTTATTAAACCTTATCAATATTTTGCATGCAGCAGCATTGACCAAATTAGTGGGCATGGGGTAGGAAGGGCATTTAATTTTGACTATTATCTGCGAATTGCTATATTTCCTGCAGTCTGTGGTAGGTTTAACAAATGAAACAAGGTCTCAATTTTTTATTGTCGTTTCCCATATCTGATATTTTGAGAGGTTTAAAGGGTCCGTGCCCAGGCACCATCCAAAGCTTTGTCATATAAATGTTGATATTAAACAAATCCAAGGGCCTATCTTGGATAAAGACTCAACTTTATAGGATTTCAACATTACCATATGGTTCAATTAAGTTTACGTCCTCTACCATGTCTAAGTTGTAATCATGTTCACCACTTTCAGGTCTGTATATATATTCTCCATATGTTTGTGTTTCATGCTCGAGTTCTTCAATATACATATTAAGAACATCTTGAGATTTACCAGGATCTGCAGGATGTGGATAAGAACATTTTTTCATTGATATCCAACGGCTAAATGATTATATCCATCAGCCCGTCAATTAGGGCCTGTCATATGACCCCGCGGATACATTTTAGTCACGCAACACAAATAATATGTAACGATTTTGGTCTTTCTCTTGATTTGTTTGCAAGAAAAAGCGTATAAAAAAACAAAATATAAAAAACATCAAATTCACTTAGACTTAACTGGCGGTATAAGCTGGCTTTTACACACAAGCCTATAATTATATATATGCACATAAGTTTGCATCATATTATTGCAGTATCCTATTAGCTAAAGCATTTGTCTGTTTTCGATCTGTCATAATTACATTAAGGATTATTCATTTTATATGGAGTGGAATGCTCAAATTTAGTAATTAACTGTGAGTAAAACTATTAATATTACAATAATATCATATACATGCAATGATTGGCAGAATTGTTGGAGAGGAACATGTATATAGTTTATTTAGGTCACATCTGCAGCTTGATTAGCTTCGGGTCTGGTCTGTTTCCAAAAGAATGAAGTTGAGCTATGACCAAGGTAGATAATGTTATACGCTCCAGAAATTCTGCCAGGACATAAAAAGAATGGCAGAATACTTACTGAAACTATGTGCTGATTGTAAAGAAATCAAGTAAGTTCATTGTACCTTTTCCCCTTAGAGATATATACTAGTATAATAAAGGATTGAAGTTATAACTTTTATGTTATAGTCAGACCATGAAAATTTACGTCAAACTCTAAATTCTATTTAGTCACCATTAACAAGACCTGGCCTCTGCATCATATATAATGGCAATAATTGACACTATATTTTCTCATTGTAATAGCTACCAGTTGTAATAGCTACCACACTGCTTATAGTGTAATATTAACCCATCAGTGCCGGCAGTGAGTAATGCAGCCGTATTTTACTCTTTAGTTATAGCCATGTTACATGTATAGTCTTACTTCTCTGTGAAATACATGAGATTTGTTTTTCCCCTTCTATATTTAATTACTAATTAGCGAGTTGAAATGAGCCATTAGATTTATTATATGCAAATGTTTTTAAGTCAAACATCCCATGCACACACATTTTGTTAACCGTTGGCAGTACTAAGGTTGCAAACCTTTAAGGGTGATATTGTCGCATTTAGCTTTACTTCTCTGTGAAATACACGAGATTTTTTTTCTCTTCTATTTGAGATAGTGAATTGGAACGAGCCATTATATTTATTATATGCAAATTTTTCAAACATCCCATGCACACACACACACATTTTGTCAGCCGTTGGCAATACTAAGGTTACAAACCCTTTAAGGTTGATATCGTTGCATTTAGCTTACTTCTCTGTGAACTAAATGAGATTTGATTTATTTTGTACAGATAACAGATATTGATATTGAATTAGCGAATTGAGATGCGTCATTATATGTATTATATGCAAATGTTTTAAGTCAAACATCCCATGCACACACACGCACATTTTGTTAACCGTTGGCAGTACTAAGGTTGCAAACCCTTTAAGGTTGATATTGTTGCATTTAGCTTACTTCTCTGTGAACAGTAAATGAGATTTGATTTATTTTGTACAGATAACAGATATTGAATTAGCGAATTGAGATGCGTCATTATATGTATTATATGCAAATGTTTTAAGTCAAACATCCCATGCACACGCAACATACACACACACACACACACATTTTGCGAACATGATTTTCCCCATTTAATAAACATACATTTATCGTTTTTCATTGCTTAAGTTCTATTTTAGCTAACTTCTCTGTGAAATACATGGGATTTGATTTATTTTGTACAGATAATTAGCGAGTTGAGATGAGCCATAATATTTATTATGTGCAAATCTTTTATGTCAAATTATGTTGAGACTAACAATGCTAAAACATATGCCTATTACCATAGGTATGAGTGTGTGGGTGAGCCTGAACGTTCAGTGTTTTAGAGTATGCTTACGTAGTACAAACTTGTTGTTAACGGAGAGTATGAATGCGTGGGCAAACATGAACGTTCGCTATCTGGGGCTCTGTCAAGGTTAAATGCTTACGTAATGCGATAGAGCGGCTATAAAAAGAGCAGCTTTCGCAGTTTCAGTCATAGTGCATTTCAAGCTATAGTACTGCTAAGTGAACAAGATTGTGTTGAAGTTAACATGGATAGTCGAATCGAAAACTGCGAAACGTTGACCAGCTTGGAGAGTTGGAAACAGAACTGGGGTCTGATATGACCTTTTTCGAATATGAAAAAATCTACGAACGAAGAATGGAACTTATACAGCAAGTTCTTGAATGGGGCCGAGAGCATAGGGCCATGGGCTTGATTGAATCCATTGGGGACAGTTGGACACCGACAGAACGACAGCGTTTTCTCGATATGTGGAAAGATGACGAGCCGTTACGGTCGATAACCTTTGGTAGTGGCACCGTACTTGAGAATATGATGTCATGTGGACGAGTGAGCAGAGGGCACAGTTTGAGCATGATTGGGATGACGATACTGGGCTTTTTCAGATGGGTAGAGGAGAGAAAAGAGCCCACGAGGAGGTGAATGACGACGCTGGACCTAGTGACGAGGTTAGGGAAAATAACTTTTTTACTGTTACAAACCTTAAACAAGTGAAGGTAAAAAAGTTTAACACTGTTGGTAGTGATTATACCGTTCAATTCGCGAATACTTTTGCTAATTTGGAACTATCGGAATACCATACTCGCCTTCATGAAATCTTTGAAAGTTTGCTTGAAACTGTGACCGAAGGTGTTCCACTGCACGATCAAGTCCGCTTTGTGTTGCGTTCGCCTCAACTAGAAACCCCCATTTCATTACCATTTATGCCCCGGGAAAGGCTAACCACTGAACGGGTTTTGGCTGAAGTTGAACGTGTTATACAATCTAATCATGAATTTCGATTAAACGATTCTGTCCATGTCAATTTAATCCATGTTCAAATGCCCAATGGCGGTACTGGTACAAAACGTTGCGAAATTAATTTGGAAAAACATTTGATGAAAAAGAATTCAATTATTCGCATCCAAAACAAGGACGACATTTGTTTAGCTTGTGCTTTAGTTGTTGCCAAGGCCAAAATTGAAAACGATAGCCAGTATATTTCTATAAAGGATTCCCGTAGACCATTACAAAAATGATTAGCTTATGATTTGCACCAAAAAGCCGGGGTGGAAATAGGTTCTTGCGGTTTAGGCGAAGTCAAACTTTTTCAAACGTATTTATCGGATTATCAAATTAATATCGTTTCAAAAGAGCACCAAAATTCAATTATTTTTTCCGGTCCTGACAAAGACAAAATAATTTATTTATTTTTGCATGACAATCACTATGATGTGATTACGAGTATGCCGGCCTTTTTTGCCAGAAAACGTTATTGTCATACATGTAAGAAAGGATATGATAAAGTTATTGATCATTCATGCCCTAACTCGTGTAAATTATGTTATTTTCAAAATTGTCCAATTGTTTCGTGGCTGCCTTGTGCGGATTGTAAGCGAAATTTTAAAAGTCAAGAATGTTTCGATCGACATAAACAAACTGTAGGAAATGCAAAGTCTATTTGTGGTTCTTTAGTAAAATGTCCTGATTGTCATACTGTTGTAAAACGGGGTAGAATGGGGCGGCATCACTGCGGCTTGACTCGTTGCTCGACCTGTAAGGAATACGTCCCCGCCGAGAATCATCAATGTTACATGCAACCTGAGAAAGAGAGAAACACGACCGTTAGTGAGGACACTGACCTTCTCGACACCGAGGCACATGACGGAGATGATGCCCCTCAAAGTGGGTACAACGAACTGCTATTTTTCGACTTTGAGTGTCGCCAAGAAAATGGAAATCATGAACC